CGCAATATTACGAATAGGCAACCAACATCACAGCCGGCGCGGATGGGCATTTTCAGCCAGAGGGGATCACACGAGCGGCCCGGCGCAGATGGCCGGTCCGCGCGAACCCCGGCAGCGGCGCCGGCATTTACTCCCGGCCCCCTAACTCCCCCAGGTACACGCGGCGCAGATGACCATCGGCCACCGTCACGAGTCCACAAACAGATTAAGTCAGGCAAACGTACCGTGTGAGTCTTTGCACGCGTTCCTTCGGGGGCGGTTTTCCCGATCCCTCTGCCCGTTGGGCGCAACAGCGCCACTATGAGTAGGCAACCCCCCTCCCTCGTCGCAGTGCCGGAGTGTCCACCACCACGGCGCCTGGTAGAGCCCGGGTAGGCAACCTGTGCGCACGCCTGCGTGGCGGACAGGCCCGGGCCGGGTGTGCCTGCAGGCGGCCTGCGACACTTCAAGTATCCAGGGCAGGGACGAGCGAGTCGACCACTGAGTATGATGACCCGAACGGCTCTGATGGGCGCGTGAAGGCCGCCGCGGGTGCCACGGTGCGGTGCAGCCAGCTGCTGCTGCTGGAGGCCGCTGAGAGCGGGCCTGGGTGCGCTACGCGGGCGCGGCGCCCCGCCATAGGCGCCGCCAGGCCACAAAGAAACGCATAGTTCCAAGAGGCTGAAGTGAGGCTGCTTGGGTGCAGGGCGGGAGAGTGAGAGTGTCTGAGAGAGAGAGAGGGAAAGATGATGAGGCAGCAAGGTGTAACTGCCAGCCACTGCGAGGCAAAATAAACGCCCTGCGCTGTGCGCCCGCACTCAGGTGATAAAACCGCACCCGGCGTGGCATCTGCATGGCACTGCATGGCACTGCATGGCCAGGCGAGGCCGAATGGTTGTTTGGATGGACTAAACGGCGTGATCAGGCGCCATCGACACTCACTTCAACGTGGAGTTGGATTGATATGAGAAACTGAAAACCGACGCCTTGACAAACACCCTCATACCACAATGTGATCACGATTTGCAAGATTTTCCGCGCTCTGCACAGCCGCACTGAACCTGTTAAACGAGTAACGCTGGCGTAGGCCTAACGTACTACAGTGAAAGTAATTTGTTTTCAAATATTGTGAAGTAATGAATGACCGGAACGCCAACCAGTTTTGATTTTAAAAAAGAAACACGAACGTATGCAAACATGACGTTCGGTCAGTAAGGCACACCCTGTGAGTGTGTGAGTCTGTGTGTAGCAAGTTTACCGCCCGGTCAGTCTTGTTCGGTTCGGGTCCGTTTATCGAAACCGGGGGGCTCTGCATGGAGTCGGCATGGAGTATACGTAATTTTGAATGTTAGGTAACTTTGTAGGACAGAGCCCTGCTGACCCTGCTTCTCCGAGCTGCCCCGTCGTCCGTCGTCCCCTCCCCTCTGATCTCCTTTCCCCCTTCCTGAAGGTCTTGTTCCTGTTCCTCTGGGGCCAGGGGGCGACCTTGGAGTTGCGTCCTTGAATGCAGCTGAGGAGGGGAGGTAGGTCACCTGTACTGTCATAGAGAGCACGATGAGTCGGCGACCCCATAGGTATGTTGGTTTTCCCCCCCTTTAAAACGCGCGGTCATACCTATAATTTTGCGTCTCGTTTGCTCCTTTTTGCGTTGGATGGCCACGGGACTGGCGGGCAACCGTTCCGCAACACACGGCAGTACGCAACGAGTGCGCGTTTTTACGAAAACTTGTTGATACACACCACCACCGGCACCGGCACCGCCGACTCCGCGACCGGCAGCGTCCACACCGACGACTGACCAGCCGCCGCAGCAGCAGCAGCAGCCCGCTCTCAGAACTGGCTCGGGGCGAAACATTTGACAAGTTTCGCAAGTAAGGGACGTGTCGCCACATGGTCACGTTGTCGCGGGCCGTCGCAGACCTTCAATCGCACAGAGCCTCAGCTCGATCACGGCGCCCGTGGGGCCGGCTGCCTTTTGTCCGGCTCGGATTAGGGTCGGTGCAGCACTCGGCCCAGAATGAGCGACAAGAAACTGAAGAAACGCAGCGGGGCAAAGCAGCCTCTAGTTTATGCTAAACCACACTGCGGAACTCCCACGACACCCGCGCAGTGTTCAAAGCCTCTCGCGATTCCCTTGTCCGTCCTTGGACCTCCCTGTGAGTACGTGAGCCGGGTTTTCGTTGAAGGACACTCTCGAAGAGGCGAGCGGGTCACCCACCCCAGCAGCCGGGGCTATCGGGGGCGCCCTGGAGACGGCGAGCTGAGGACCTACCTCTAGTCCAGCAGCGCGGCGCGTCCGCGGAGTCCTCCGGGGGTAGGGGCAGCAGGGGCTGCCGGGGCTGCCCTGGCGCGCGGCGGACGGCTGTGCTCGGGCTGCGCGGGAGCGCGCGCACATAGCACTGGGCTCTGGCGGGGCGCTGCTCTGGGGCGGCGGCGGCGGCGCGTCGCGCGGCACTGGAGCCGGGCCGGGCCTCTCCACAGGCGGCAGGGCCTTTGGCAGCTACAGGACTCCGACGCCGGCGAAACGGAAAACTTTCCACGGCGCGCGCGAACTCCTCCTCCAGCGGGTAGGCCTCCAGCACACCAACAGCAGCTGCAGCACCGCGCCAGCGCCGTCCAGGCGTCGCTGTGCCTCGACTGGCTCGCCGGCCCAAGTCCCGCCCCCCTCCCTTTGGGGTCCGAGCCCCCCCTCGGGCACCGCCGCGCGCCCCACCACGGCCAGCCC